GAAAAAATAGTACAAATGAAGTCAGTGTACATTTCATTGATTTTCTCGAAAACTATAATACATAGATGAATCCAAAGATGCATATGAAAGCTGAATGTTTGGGAATCCAGCAAGTATAGATACATTCCTGTGCTCTTATCCATATTGCTGTAATACGCGTTCCTTTTATGAAATGAAGGAGGTTGGGGAGGCGCCAAATGATTACATACTTTTGAGGGAGGCGTAGTAACATCAAGTTTGGAAACCACTGAGTTAAAGTGTAAATTAGTTGTACCTTTGAGTACAGGTAATCCAGCAGATCTCCGCCCCGCAGAAGCTGCTGCACCAGGTACACGTAGCGATCATCCTCGTAGACGCCCTTCAAACTGACGATGTTATTGTGCTGTCCGTATCGCAGCAGAATCTGAATCTCCTCGCTGCAATCGCACAACTTGCTGACTTTCTGAAAATCGTTTATGATAAGTTACCAAAATACACCACAATTTCGAATACATCGTGTAATTAGTATGATCTCCATCAAATTCACAATTATCTGCAAGCATTTGAGAATAATTTCGACTACATTCGATTCTATTCTTCGAATCCCTTTACGAAGTTTCATTTTCATCGCCTCTATTTTATCTCGCATGGAAAACGATACATTTAGTTGGTTTAGAATGTCTGCTTCGAATTTGTACCTTGACAGCGAATTGTTGTCCGGTGGCACGATGTTTGGCCACGTTGCACACCCCGTAATTTCCGTAACCCAATGGATCCAGCACTTCGAATTCCTCGTGGAAGTTGCCAGGACTCGAGGGAATAGTCTTCTGCGGGGCTTCGATCCGCTTCTGAGCCGTAGCGCTGTCCAGCAGGCAAGGCGCGATGAAGCTGAACCTGCAAGTACATCATCATCATTTGAATCGTGCTATTATTAAGAATATATTGTTCCAACCCTCGGAATAATTCGTGTGCGTTGGCGCTGGCAGGAACGCCGGGCGAATCTCTAGGCGTTTTACACGTGAATTCCGAATCAAAGTAGAAAGCATCGTCTGGCCCAGATACAGCCGGTTTGAACGGTGGCCTTATTTTCTTCAGTAGCAAAGCGTCCCAGTCGATGGTGGCGAAGAACTCGTGCCTCTTAAGATCCTCCACGCCGGTCGGACCGCTTCCCAGCCGATTCGCCGGATTCCTCTTGAAGAGAGCGCGGAGCAGACTCTGCGCTTCCGAGCTCAAATTCGAAGGCATCCCCAGCTTCGCTTTCAGAATCTGAGTCATGGTGTCGCGTCGATTGGCTCCTTGGAAAGGCAAACCTCCCGTTAACATTTCGAACATTAACACCCCGAAGGACCACCAATCCGCGGCGAACGTGTGACCCTTCCGATTCACCACCTCCGGCGCCATATATTCTACCTTGAAAGCAAAGCAAATCAAATCAATACAAATCGAATGAAATTTGGAGTGACGTTAAACTCACAGTTCCGCAAAAGCTGTAGGCCTTGTCCTCTTGCAGAGGTACTTTCGATAGTCCGAAATCGGTTAAAGCTATATGCCCGTCGGAGTCCAGCAGCACATTCTCCGGCTTCAAGTCTCTATAAATAATACCGATGGAATGCAGATGGTTCAGGGCCAAAGCCAGCTCGGCCAAATAGAATTTCACGTCTTCCTCGGTGAACATCACTTCTTTGCTTAACCTGGAGAACAGATCGCCGCCCCGCAGGAAATCCAATATCAGGTACAGTTTCCCCGTGGTTTGGAAAGCGTAATGCAGCTTCACGATGAACGGATGCTCGACGTCCACCAGTATGTTCCTCTCCATCTTCGTCCTCAATCTGTCGCGCACTTTCAACGAAGCCTTCTTTAATACTTTCATGGCGTACAAGGTTCCCGCATCAGCTCCGGCCACTTTCCGCACCAGAAACACCTTTCCGAACGATCCTTCGCCCAACACCTTGAGCAGCTCGAACTGGGACGGATCGGCCTTCCCGTGCCCATCCCGACAAACCTAAAACCAGCAATCACATCACAACAACAACCGATCAATATTTCAGCAACACGTTACATCTTGTAGTTCGATCTCATGGTCTCCCTCCAGCAGATTCTCCTCTAATCCGGCTTCCTCTCCATCCTCAGGCGACTGCGAATAGAACATTAACAAATCAACATTAACCTCACAGCAAATACAAATAATAATGGTTAGTTTCAAGACTCTATTTGATATTAAACTGACTGCAAACTGTCACCATTGTCGTCTCCTTATCAAATCAATACATGAGAACGAATGGGCTCAACAAAAGGCAAAACAATAATCTTAGAATAGGAAATACACAACGTGGATGTGGTTTTTTTATTATTATATATATATGCTAGATAAGATTGTGAGGACGGAAGCAGAAGGAAATTAATGCTATAAACTTTAGAACAAAAACTGTTATGGATGACGATGAGTGAACAAGCTTTGGACCTAATGCATGCATTCTCTCCGTCTCATTCTCCAGATCTATCTCTCGTGCATTTTTTTTAATTATGTATGTAATGTGATTGTACGTACAGGCACAATTCTTAAGGGCCTCGGCACTCCAATAGCTGCAAATTAACAATATAATCATTAAGATTAAGCTATGCGTGCCGGTGGTTGGGGTAACAATAGAAGAAACATTTGCAATTCAAGGGATGGCAACTCCACATGGGGGGTTGGGCTTTAATTTATGTACACCAAAAAGAGGATTTCCTTTTTTTGTATTCCAAGCAGGCCTTGAACGAATCAATAACTTGTACACTGACTGTTCTTTGCGCTCTTCTTGCGTGTGTGGATATTTATTTATTTTTTTTCTCTTGCTCTTCGAATGCAATAATAACGCAATCTGGTGGGACGCTAAATGATGTTTTGATTTATACATATGTAAATAAATTAAAGGGGGTAGTCGAGTCAAGTGGGATGTAGCTGTTAGTATCGTCGTCAAACCTACCTCTAGTACGATGTGTTGAACTTGCCATAGTTGTACATTTGGTAATGGCATAGTACTAAATTTTTGATCGATCCCCTTCCAATCTTAACTGCAGCTTCCTAAATGTAATTGCACATACGATTAGAGCACCGGACTTGATGGTAGAACTAGATGTACTTGCAGTGCGTGTGTGCCTGTAATGTGTACGCTAAATATGGCCTCTCACTTTCTCGCCAATACGCCGGAATGGATGGTTGTAGTGCACAGTGCGCGTGAATCAATCGCGCACTTCGCGAACATTAAAGCACACTTTCGCTGAAACTAACAAAAATTCTTACATTTATCACAACAATCCGTAGCATTCGCAATCTATCTGAGGAATGAATAGACTTCCAGAAAGGATATTTTACAAAAATTATAATCGTTTCGAATCCGGATGATCGGATGGATGATTCAAAGACCGGATTATCTAGAATCATTAGCATATAGCCCCGTTCGATTCGCGGAAAACAAAGCCTGATTATACATTACCGCTCATACTTGTTGCTACAAGTCTAAAGATCATCGCCAATCGATCGCTGGACGTTGTATTGCCTAGCTCATGGCCAAAATATTCGCATTTACATATTCGATCAACGAAGTCCGTTCACTTCCAATTATTATATAATAACTTTCACTTAAGAGCAAAAGAAACTTTTCCTCAATCAATATATGTACATTTAGTACATTTAACTGCTTTCTGAAATCAATCACAAAGATGATATTATTCATTACTATAAGTTAATAAAACTTTAAGAAGTAATACTTGCGTTAGATTGTTAGTACATAAAGTGTGTTTACAAAGTATTTATCTCTAATGTTGCACTCGATTTTGTAATCTAATCCAACGGAAAATATTTTATTCCACTTAGTTCAATAACAATTATTATGATAAGTTTTGCAGATGGAATTGAAAATGAGTCAACGTATCATTAACTATGTTAAGAAGCATGCGGCAAAAACAAGTTTAAACTAGTGAAGGAATCGAGGCATGACATAATCCTCTTGCGACCCTTAATATCCCCCAAAAAATAAACACGAAGTTTTGTACAAGTTGCAACTCGTACAGAGAATGATTCATTTTCAACACGAATTCTTATAAGTTTTCGTTTATGAAAGATAGAAATGTTATAATTAACTCATTAATTTATTAAATAATTTATGTAAAGTCATCTAGAATCCAAATTCTATTATATAATTTATTAAATTGTGCGTATTTCCTTATGTTTCTATTCAAATTATAATTAACAACTCAGTTATTTCGAATTCGAAGTTTTGTACCAATTGCAACTCGCACAAAGAATGATTCATTTTCAACAAGAATTCTTATAAGTTTTGGTTTATGAAAGATAGAAATATTGTAATTAACTCATTAATTTATTAAATAATTTATGTAAAGTCATCTTGGATAGTTCTAGAATCCAAATTCTATTATATAATTCATTAAATTGTGCGTATTTCCTTATGTTTCTATTCAAATTGTAATTAACAACTAAGTTATTTCGAATTCGAAGTTTTGTACCAGTTGCAACTCGCACAGAGAATGATTCATTTTCAACACGAATTCTTATAAGTTTTCGTTTATGAAAGATAGAAATATTGTAATTAACTCATTAATTTATTAAATATTTGATGTAAAGTCATCTTGAATAGTTCTAGAATCCAAATTCTATTATATAATTCATTAAATTGTGCTTATTTCCTTAGGTTTCTATTCAAATTGTAATTAACAACTCAGTTATTTCGAATTCGAAGTTTTGTACCAGTTGCAACTCGCACAAAGAATGATTCATTTTCAATACGAATTCTTATAAGTTTTCGTTTAAAAAAGATAGAAATATTGTTATTAACTCATTAATTTATTAAATATTTTGTGTAAAGTCATCTTGGATAGTTCTAGAATCCAAATTCTATTATATAATTTATTAAATTGTGCTTATTTCCTTACGTTTCTATTAAAATTATAATTAACAACTCAATTATTTCGAATTCAAAGTTTTGCAACTCGCACAGAGAATGATTCATTTTCAACACGAATTCTTATAAGTTTTCGTTTATGAAAGATAGAAATGTTGTAATTAACTCATTAATTTATTAAATAATTTATGTAAAGTCATCTT